GTCTTACCCTTGTAGCTGTTGGAGCCAGCCTAACTAGTAATGGTGAGAGATGTTAGAAGAAGAAGAAGTGTGGTGCGGTGGACTCGAGTGCTCCAATTCTATATAAGATTACCCCCTTTCGATTTCGTCGAATCTTCTGTCGGCTTAATTTTTCATTATTGAAATCCATTGGTCGTTCAATTTAGAAAATGTAAAATTTCCAAAAAGCACTAATATTTGTCGAAGATAATTGAACAGGTATTGGTTATGGTATTAATGATTTTATGGTGGTACTGAGAGGTAAGGGTTCAGCTCTCGACACCGACGGAAATAAACCAGTCCGCATGGTGTCCACTTAGTTCCATTATATACTTCCACTGGTACATGATTTCCTATGGAACTAACAAACAAACGGTCTAGCTTAACCAAAACCAAAAACGTTGAACGCTAACCACTTCACCTCTTATTTCCGGGCATCGAAAGCATTCGTATAAACATCATTGATTTCTTCGTTGCTTACTTTTCTTTATGAAATTTACAAAGCATACAGTGTCATAAATGGTTCTCATCGCTTTTTTCCCGTCGTTTGGATTTTTTTCACAAAAATTTCAAAAGAAAGTAAACAGAAGAAAATGGTGGTCTAAAGTTTACAGTTATATTACTTAAAAGAAACGACTTTAACTTCCAAAACGGAATAGAATTCTTTCGAAAAGAAATATTCTATAAAACATTGCCAATGAGAGTGGAAGATATTAAAAAGCTATCCACCTTTGACCACTCTTGTCTAAGGCACATTGTACAGGTCCGTTGAGCGTATAAAATATCACATGATTGTATCTATCTTCGTTCAAATACCACTTACATAAATAATATTATCGCAGAGCGTCGTCTTTGCTGGTTAGGGCATATTCTCCGTCGTCCACAAGAGTTGTCGCATATTTCGTTACTTGCTAAACCATGTGATGAATGGCGTCAAAAACGAGGTGGGCCAATCAAGACCTGGACTGAAACGGTCAGGAATGATTTTGAACGTAAAGGTGGATCAGCAATATACGGACTTGGACGATGGAAAAAGGAATGGCTTCTATTACTGTCGACAATAGCATCAGACCGCGCCGCTTGGAAGCGTCTTACCCTTGTAGCCATTGGAGCTAGCCTAACCAGTAATGGTGAGAGCTAGAAGAAAAGATTGGTATGCCTATCACGTAATGAAAATGAAGCCAGACACTGCCAAAATTAAAATGGCTATAAACGCCTTTTTCATCGATTTCATGAGTTTATTCTTGAAAAGATATACTATTTTTAAAAATATGGTTGAAAAATATCTCTTGCTTTTTAAAACTGATTTGCTAATACTTTTTTAATACTTACTTTTAATACTTTTTTTCACTATTTTCCATCTTTTTTCTTTTGCTAATCATAACAAAAAAAAAGAAAAAAAAGACCATTTACCTGAAAGGCCAATAAGCGAATGAGAAAACAGCCTGTTGAGCAAATGACACGTTTCTACTTGACAATACCAAAGGTATCGCAGCAATTAAACCAAGAGGTATACCCTGAAGTAAATAAAGAAACAGCAATAGACAAATCGATGTAAAATCGCCGTGTAATGATTTTTTCGTCCTTTTGAACCATGATAATGAGTGGTCGACTGAAACCTGAAAAATATCATAAAATTAAATGCCTTTTGGAAAATAGAATAAGTTTTGGTGAGGATAAAACTGAATTTCTGAATTAATTCCCTGAAAAAAAAATAAAGATAATTTTTACTAATTCTATAATGCTACTTCAATGCTACTTTACAAACCATTAAAATTCAAAATTAACATTATTAAAATGACTATTTAAAATTCTAACCTGAGAATATGAAACATTAGTTGGGTTTTCTTTTTTTAAATGCTTTTTATAAAGGATTAACAAAGATTGAAATTACTAAAAAATAAAACCAAAAGAAAACAAAACAGAAATAAACATGAAAAGTTAGTAAGACAGGAAGAAATTTCGCTAGGAAAAATCATTCATCTTTTCAAAAAAAAATCACTCGATAACCAAAACAGAGTATAAAATATTTATATTAGAGATGATTTAGATTAAAATTAAAAATGACGAAACGAAGGCAATGATTATCTGCTCCACAACGATACTCATTGGGAAGAAAATAGCGATGAAGCATTTACTATCAGATTTCTAGTACGGTCCAGCGCAAAATTTTAAATTATCTAATTCAGTGATCCTTGAATTTAAACTGAATCTTTTTTTTAGAATACATAATATATACACTTCTATACACAAAATATACTGAGGCATACGATGATAAAGCGTATTAGTAAGCATAAAATGGTGTATATTTAAGAAAAGTCTTAAATCAAAAAAAAAGTAAACCTTTCCTTATGTTTAAGCATGAAATGGCATATAATGTAATTTAAATAATATTTTTAGGCATAAAATTTATACAAATAGGAAATTCTCTTTTTCTGGCAATATTCAAAGCAAAAGACAAACAATGGGTAATGGATATTATATGCATATTTTTAAATATTTTTTTTTATTTTATTTGAACTTTCAACAAATTTCAGTATTTCTGGAGAACGAAGTGAATGCATCGCATATAAAGGAAAGATTTTTGGATAAATAAATAAACCTTTTCATGCTGAAGAAGCAGTTTATGTTCATCATCATTACCGTCATCATTATCGTTCGATTCTTTCAAGCTGCCTAAACGATAAATATGCGGAAGATGTGCACCAATAACAGCTGCGTCAAAATCTGGTTCAGTGGCCATTAAATCTTCGCTCGTTATTAAAGAATCGTCTAAACCTCTTCCACCATAATCTCGTTGTTCCAAACGTCGCCTTCGTATTGAATCAGCCATTTTTAAGTTGCTATCAATACTTATAGCCACTTCTTTTATTTCGTTTGGAACAAAATCCATGCAAAGCCTTTCCCACACAGTGGAAGCTTGTTAAAATGATCTGGGAGCGGAACCGATCGGAAAATCTCGGACTAGAAGATTTAACAGGAAAACGAACAGGACCAACGCAAGGCCAAACAATTTGTACGTGTGACTCTCATAACACACACTGTACAAAACAGCTCATTTCAACTTAAATGTAAAATTCAAATTTTTAAATCGATAAATTTCGGCACTTGAGAGGTGATTACACCAGCTATTGTCTAGCTCAGTAGATACAAATATTTAATAGAAATTTACGTCAGAAAACGGAAATTCACCGGTAAGGTCTCAAAAACGAATTTAAAAAAACGGGCAGATCATAAGAATATGTGGCGTTATAGCCTTCTACGAAAATTGGAATCATAAACCATACTGCAAAACAAAATTTGTCGAAAAAAGTGACTCCACACCATTAACCAAAAGTTTTAATATAACCAATATCGATAAATTAGGGGCATTCTTTTAAACCGTCAGACTTAATTTTACTTCTACCGACTATTCGCTTTATGGCCAAATCGCATCGATAGAGCTCGAGGAGGGAACGTTGGCCCTAATGATTCTTTTAACCCATTTTCACAACATAAATTACCATGCACATGTATTAGACCGCAGTAATTAGACCGATTATAACAATATAATAGGCAGTTATAATCGATTACTATTGATAATAGAGAAAACGATAAGCGAAACGCATTTGATAAAATATTAAGTAAAAAATAATCTTGGCTTAGCGTAATTAAGTAAATGGTTAGCAGTTACCATTCCTGATTATAACCGCTTGACTGTCTAATGATAATCAAAACCACGATTGTCAACGATTGTTAACTCAGCAATTTTGTCTTGTTTGCTAATTTTCAAAAATGCCCACAAATTGAAATGAAATTAAAGGTAATTTTAAAGTAAATCGGAGAAAAGTTATTAATTTATTGAAAAAACAGACTCGAATTTTGTGATTTTAAAGTTGGTGATTTGGTGATTATAATTTAATTTCAATTGTAGCAAGATGGTGATAGGTAGTTTCTTGCTGTAGAAGGGATCAGATAGTAAGGTTGTTTTAAGCATCATAGACTCAATTCCCTGATAGAAGAAAGTCTACCATTAAAAAATCTGGAGAACTCGCCAGTATTTCGATCGCCAAGTGTCAAGTCTTAAAATTTTTAACTATGTTGGTGGCCCTTACTAAGATAATGAACACAAATCTTTTTTTTTTTTAATTAGAAATAAGAAAGTTGACAAAAATTTATTAAAATTAATCAATATCAATATAAATTTATTAAAATTAATCAGTAAAATAAATCTTATCTTATTTATCTTCATCTTCTTTAGCTGGCAATTTGGCGTTGGGACTAGGTATGTCAACGGAGAGTATCGCCATTGATGAAGAAAATGGGCTTTTTAATCCGTGCTTTCAGTACACTGAAGGAGACAGGAGACAATTACATAGAATTCACCAGAGAATCAATGTTCCAATTAGATTGATTATATTCTGGTCAATCATCGATGGAAGAAGAGTTTTGCACAGGTAGTGGCCCATATCGCAGAAGGAAAACTAGCACTTTCCTCGGACCAGAGTACTTCTTAGTAGAGCCAAAATCCGAATGAAACTGACAACGCGCAAAACATAGCGTCTCACAAAACCTTCTGACTAACTCAAGTTAAAAGATTTAGAAATGTTTACAAGCTGAGGTGCTAACAAACCTAAAGGATTTTAACGATAACAGCAACATTTCTGGAATTTCCGATGAGTATTTATCCAAAATAAAGTCATCCCACTTGAAGCCGCCATAGGACACACGACTCGGACTGCGAACCACCAACTGAATATGAAACCTCTGCGATTTACAAGACGAAAAAATCCTTCGGAGAAAATAGTCTGCGAGCTAAACTCTTCAAATGCTGTTCGACGTTCTTCACACACCTACAAAAATTTTTTACTGGTATGAGAATGATATGTCATGTAAATTAGTATCACAGAAAACAATTATATTAATAGAACTTTACTTCCAATTCCCAAAAAAAGTGACAACTATCGAGGAATGAGCATGCTAGATTATTTTTGGGAAAATTTTGCTTTTCTTCTGCTGAATAGACTCGGGAAAGCAGGACGAACCATAATTAAACCAGATTTGGGGCAAAGCATGGTTGCGCTAACCAAGTTTTCACGCTAAGAAGCTTACTGAAGCTTACTGAAGTAACTTCATGTACCGATAACTTGCCATTATACGTGCTTCATTGATTTTGTCACTGTTTTTGATTCGATTGATAGGGCTGCGCTTTGGCAAGTCACGCAACACGATGGCGTTCTAGAGAAGATAATCAAATTTACTAAAGTTTTTTGTGTATACAGGGAGGGAATTGACATCGTTTTGAAATACGTTCAACTATGCGATGCGATAGACTGGACACCGCTTGCCGGAATTTAAGAGACGTGCAAATCAGTCCAGAACATAATTCAGGTCTCGAATACGTCTTTTCGTTGATGGCTACGAAGACTGCAGCAAACACTAGATCGGCTGTCGTCGGCAGCAATGAAAATCGGAGATCGAATCAATGCAAATAAACTTTTTCACCTTATACGCCACAAGACCAAGATCGCAATCTATAAATTGATCGCTTCTCTGAGAAATGCTCAGACTTTGAATATCGCGTCCACTCTCATGCCTAAGGGCTAAACGAAAGATGGAATTCCAGCTTGAATTAAAGCAGCTAGAAGTGCTTTCTTTCGTGTGGTGAGGCCCATTTGGAATCGCTTCTAAATCGATCTCAAGACGAAAATTCGTACCTGTCTATCTGAAGTGTGTACAATCTTACTATATTTCTGCTTGAATATTTATTGAAAACCAGCCAAGTAGGGCGAAAAACGCCATGTGTTTATATTAATAACAACAGTTAAAACAAATAATAATTAATGATAAAAAAAAACGTGACAAAAATTAACAATTAAAGAGGAAATTGCAAAATAATGTAATATAGTATACGAAGTAACTGTATAATTCGAAGTAACTGTATAATACATAATCGGTTGGTAAAAAATACTTAGCCAATGAGAGTAGAAAATGAAGATGCGAAAATTATCTTTCTCGAAGTTATCTTTGACCACTCTTTGACTTAAGATAACTTACCAAGATAACTTATCCTACTAACTTGCCAAGCGAAAAAAATTTGTTGCATCCCCCTTTGAATACCATCTGCATTAAGAACATCGCCACGAATCGCCACGTGTACTGGTTTGGCAATGCTCTCCCACCACAGGAATTTACACACATCTCGCTACTTGCTAAACCATGAGATGGAGGATCGAAAGCAAGAAGCAGAGGGCTGAAGTCTGCACAGGCGATATCTCAGACAGTGGAAAAAAAGGTGGTTCATTTACTTTTAGAAATATCATTAGATCGGGGGCCTAATGGTAAGAAAAAATAAATTACCATTTCTAATTAGGCTAGTTCCACTAGCTACTAGTGAAAGAAATAGAGGTGGGTCGCTAGCACTGTCCTGATTTTTTAAATGTCACTTCTACTCCTGTCGGGGTCAGCAGCTGAACTCTTGCCTTTCAACATGAGCCACTGAGCCACTATCCATTTTCATATCCTTTTTGCTTCTTCCTGAACAATGAATCTAAATTTTTTCCAGCTCCGATTGATTTATTACTAGTTCATAGTTCAAAGGATTCAATAAATTTTATCCAGAATCTTAAATTTTGCGAATTTTTTAAAAATTTTTTAAAAATCCATTAAATTAAAATTATACGTGGATTTTCCTTCTTACTTTACAATATATTTGCCCATTATAAAGTAAAAACCCTACAAAAAAGCTAAAAAAATAAAGGAAAGTAAAAATTAAGAAATAAGAAGAAAAAGAGTAAAAAATGCTATGAAAGATTAGAGGCGATGAAATTCAAAAAATGGTGATGTTTATGAGAAAATTAAGTAAAAAGTGGTAGCGTAGCAGGCACCACTTCTAACTGCACTCGCTCAACGGATTTCAGTGGGAATGAATAGTTTTTGTGTGGAAGTGCAGATGGTATAAAAAAATTTTCAGAAGATAAATGAAATAAGAGCAGTGATAATCAAAATTCAGCAAAAACTTCGTCAAATCGACCAGAGAGTAGTAGAAGATCGTTGAGTAATTTTCACTGCCTTCGTTGACATATGGCGTTAATTATAAAATTGCCATTGCCATATTATTTTTTTATAATTTTTTTCTGTTTACAAATAATGATAATCTTATCTTTTTATAGAATTTTAGGCTGCTAGCTCGACTGGTTACTAGCACAGTCAGGATTTTTGCCAGGGAATCGTTTGGCGACAAAAACATAGTAGATCAGCACCATCTCGGTTTTTAAACTCATATTACCACAGCAAGGAATCGAACCTATGAAACTCGATGGGAATTCGACCTACCACACTATTCGATCATGCCCTGTTTAAGTGCAATAAAATCCACTTAATCAATCATTCATTTTTACAAAAAAAAGACAGAAACGAGTCGTTCAACTGATATGACAATTATTAATATGGGCAATTTTCAAGTTCTTTGCATTCTTTGCACAACTATGCGCTGATTCAAGGAAAAGCAATTCTATTTTTCAATATTTTTCAATATTCGATAAACTTTTTTTTAAAGAGTCCTCACCATTACTGCTTAAACTCGCTCTGCTGGCTTATCGCACTGGACAAATGTACCAGGAAGTTCTTTGTAGAAGTACAGGTGAGAGGACAGCATCAGTCGGTTTACTTGTTGGACAGGTTCCTGCGAGGAGTAGAACCTCAGCATCGGCTTTCAGAATTGAACAACAATCCACTGAGCTATTCTATCTCTATTTGATAAGCTATATTACTAAACAAATCGTAATCTAGAATTTAAATTCTGCTTCTATCAAATTTAGGATCGAAATTTAGGATCGTATTGCACCATTTTTTTTAAATTTAGAATCGAGAAAATTTTTTACTAGATCTACTAGATTAAATAGAAACAAAAAA